GGATGACTGAGAACAGGCTAAACAAAGGTCGAAATGGGAAAGAGAATGGGCGAGCGCAGTCGGGAAGGCCATTTGTGCGATGTGCGGAAATCGGAAACGAGTGAACCTGGCTAGATGTATATGAGCATGCCAAGCGAACCCAGAAAGCAACTCCCGCACCAACGATGCCATCGCGGGATCGTGCTCTCTGCGACTAGTTTCAAGCCCGCCTTGCCCTTGTTGCTTTTTCAAAGAGGGATAAGGGACAGTCAACAGATTTTTTATGGGACGGGTGAGGACGACGACTAAGATAGATCGTGCTGAAGAATGGCCGTCAAAAACCTTAAGGCTTGGTGGCACTGCGAAAAGAGAATATCCAACACAGCCACTATGTACCGATGTTAAGAGCAGGTTTCAAACTTCAAACGGTTTGAACTTTGCAGCCAAAGCTCACTAGCACTGATGACATTCATCAAAAATTTCAACAGATTCACATTCACAATCGCTGACTTGCCAAATTTAACTGAGGCGCACAAGAGTGACAGTGTTGGATAAGGGGGTAGATTACCAAGCAACAGGGAACCCTTGCAGGCAAACGCACAAGGGGTCCCGCTCTTCATATAGCTTTATGTACTGCTTTTTGAATGAAACTACTAGAACGTCCATGAAAATAGAAATCTGGCTGAGTAAAGCTCAGCGCAGCACTTACCAATCCCGATGGTGAGTCTGGCGAGTGTGGGCGCTTGCTATGATCCGGGCCGAAATATCATAAACAGCATGTCAGACTTACGCTTTCTCGAGCAGGCTTACTGAGAACTTGCTATGATCCCCGAAAAATACAGCACTATAAAGAAGAGCAAAAGCTTCCGGTTTTCAGTTAGCTGCAGGCATATGGCACCATGCTAGCGCTTTGTATGTGTGGCAATTCAATGACATACTCGTTGATTTGCACGAGTTGCAGGTCAGATATGACAAGAGAAAGAAGTTGCTGAACATTGTACCGACTCCGGCTGACGCGTTCACCGGTCCGGAAAAAACCGAGAATCTTCGCTGCGTTCTATCATTTTTCTCCCACTGTCATTCTCCTTTGTTTGCATACCTCGACCCAAACCAGGCCTCAGTCAGTGAGCAAAGACTCTCCAGACAACACATATGTAACATTGTCAATTCAAACCCATGTCGGGCCGACCGAGACATTATTAACACCAGTCTTTGATTGGAGGTTCATCATCGCCGGGACCTTGAAGTTATAAACGACAACAATTTATTTCGAAGACGTTCAAGTCGCATGATGGGCCGTTGACTCAAATTTGCTTATGTCCGAGCTGCCTTTTGGCCTCGTTATTGATACAATGCGGCTCACTCCAGGCCCCAATTTTTAGCTTCGTCTTGATATGGGAGTGAAGCATGATATTCTGGAGGGACCCTGTTGCTTCCTGCTTGGTCCTCTTTTGTCACCCCACTTTGCATTCCGACTATAAAGCTTGCGTTACCCAAAGATCAAAGATGTATCAATTATGGAGCCCACTTCTCTGTTTATTGTCGCGCTTCTCGTCATTGCTATCACTACTCTAATCCCCAGACGAAAACGCTCTATTGTCAAACAGCTTCGAGGTCCCACACCGGATTCCTGGCTTCTTGGTGAGCCTTATCTTCGCCTGTAACATCTCCTCGTTATTTCGATTCGCAAGGTAATGAATATGCTGTTAAGCATCAAGACCAAGTCGGCGACTTGGACTTTCCTTGGTTTCGCGAATATGGATCAGCCTTCCGTGGAGCTGCTTGCTACGGCGTGAGTATCTTCGCATATGTCTTTGTGACAATATAGCCGATTCCGGGTACAGAAAGATCTATTAGTCCTCGGTGATCCGAAAGGTTTACAGCATGTCCTTCATGGCTCTGGATACCGTTATCCCAAAGCTCCCGATTCAGATTATAACTTGAACATACTATTTGGGAGGGGAATCATCACAGTAGCTGGTGCAGTTTCGTCTCAACTCGTCGATGGGGCTTGTTATTTAATTCGTGTCTCTTAGGATCTGTTCACCAACGACACAGGAAAGTCATGAATCCCGCATTCTCTGCAGCACAACTTCGGACCTTTCTCAGTCTTTTTCAACGATCAGCGAAGAAGGTGAGTCTGCGTGATATCCCTTTCTTCATGACTTACAGTCTAACGAGCTACTTAGTTCTCTCAAAAACTTATTGACATGGCCGAAGGTGGACAATCGAATATCAATATAACGCTATGGCTCGGAAAGCTGACTTTGGACATCATTGGCGAAAGTGAGCCTCCCGTATTGAAGGATACCATTATTCAGTACTAACGACCATCAAAGGTGCTTTCGGGTATCGATACGGCGCGCTTGACGACGAAAATAATCTACTCGCCAATACATTAAACAACTTATTGTTTGTAGTACTGCCGTTTGACTATTTCGTTTTCCTTATCTCCTTCCAGCCACGACGCAGGAATATTTCCCTCTCGCGCTGGAATACTATTCTCGGCGTTGCCTAGAGTCTTGCCAAAGCCTCTCCTCCAACTCATGGATCTCATTCCTTCCCGGCAAAAGACGCATTTCTCAAGTTTCGAAGTCGCTGCCAGAAAGGTTGGATGGGAACTGCTCAAGGAGAACGTCGAGGGAAATGGCTCAGAATCATCAACTGGTAAGGATGTTCTGAGTATCTTAGGTGAGATGGTGCCGTTGGTTGCAAGTACTTGGGCTCATTGAATATCATAGCGCGCGCGAATTCCCAGGAAGAAGAGAAGAAAAGATTAAGCGACGATGAAGTCCTTGCTCAGATAGCGTCAGTTCATCGTATTCTGTCTAGAGACAATCATATTGATTCTTCACGGTGGCAGTTCACTTACATTGGCAGGGCATGAGACTACCGCATCTACGCTCACCTGGGCCCTATTCGAGCTGTGTAATCATCCTGAGCAGCAAGACCGTATCCGCGCAGAAATAGCGGAAGTCCGTAGCCAATATGCGACCAAAGGCGAACTCACTGCAGCAGATTACGATGGTATGCTGTTTATGAACGCTCTGATCAAGGTGTGCAACTTTGCCTTGAGTCGTTTACCTGTTCATTGGTTTGGCTTTCGCAGGAAACTCTTCGATTCCATCCTATTGTTCCCGCCCTGCTGCGTATCGCGGCTTATGACGACGTCATCCCGCTTACCGACCCAGTTACCACATCCACCGGTGCCAAGCTCACCGAAATCCCTGTGGAGAAGGGCCAGCTCGTTGAGATTGCAATCGCATACTATAATCGGTCAGTATAAGCCGACGTCATAATGTTAAGTGTACGCTCACTCTAGGACGCTACAGTAATCCAACTGTATGGGGCTCTGATGCCGATGCTTGGAATCCAGATCGATTTTTGGGTGAACTGGACAAGCAGACACCAGTTGGTGTTTATGCTAACCTGTAAGTTCGGTATTAATTGTCGAGAAAACAAGTCTCATTCCCCCGCCTTTTAGTCTGTCCTTTAGTAAGTCGGCGCTTTGACTAAAAGGGTAGTTCACTCAATAGTTCTTCTCTTGTAAGGCGCTGGAGTCCGCTCCTGTATCGGTTGGCGTTTCGCGTGAGTCTTCTTCCTTCTTGCCCATCATGTAGGCTCATGATGTGTTGCAGTGTTATGGAGTTACAGGTTATCCTGTTTGAGCTTCTCGAGTCGTTCAAGTTCACTTTCCCTAAGGAAGGCATCGACATCAAACGACAGCATGCCGGGATTATGATTCCCATGGTGCGAGATGAGATGTCTAAAGGTACTCAAATGCCAATGCATCTGATTCCAAGTCCCATCCAGTACTAGGAGGATATTAGTTTTATACGTGTACCATGATTAACATTTTGTATTTTTTCGTCCTGAATTCCTAGCTCTCACTTCTCGAATTTTTTAGCCTGACCTTTGGTAAGTTGACGTTCGGGTATTAGAATTATTTCACTCAGTACTGCTACAAGCGCCGGAGTATCGGTTGGCGTTTCGCGTACTGCCTCCTTGTGGCCTATATTGATGCTCAGACCATTTTGTTCCAGCATTATGGAGCTTCAAGTTATCCTGTTCGAGCTCCTCGAGTCCTTCAAGTACATTTTTTCCAAGGCAGGTATTGACATCAAACGGCAGTCCGCTGGAATTATTATTCCCATGGTGAGGGATGAGATGTCTAAAGGTACTCAGATGCCGCTACGCTTGATTCCGAGTCCCATCCAGTAATGGAAGCCGTCGTTTTTCTGATCCATGACAATCATTTCTTTCCGCTCAATATTATGCAGATGAATACACATACACCTACTTTGACATTAGCTTAATTACTCGTCATTCGTCTAAAACCGAGCCTTAGAATAAAACGTAATACGAGGGCCGAGGTATTCATAGCTACGGAGAAGCTCGAAGGTCCCCATTGAACACCTGGCGTTGAATGAATAGGTATATGGGCTAACCTCTGGGAGGCGGCGGTAAAATGCGGCCTCTTTCATGGACACTTTACAAATGGCTACGAGTCTGGCTGTTAATCGTACGGCGTACATTGAACAGTGAATACTGTAGTATGTAGTTACTACTATGTAAATACTACATACAGTGCAATAGGGTAGCGCACGAAACCTAGGCTTCGTTACACTTGGGTTTATTACCGGTAACTTACTGGTAAGTTACCTCCCCTCGCTGGAGGGGTTTTCCGTCGAGGTAACTTACACACTATGTGACTGCCTGATAAGCATAAAATTCAATACAATTACATGTATATTCAGTATACGTGGTACAGGAGTGAATATGCAATATGTTCAGATGTCTTACAGCATCCCCGACAAAGAAAATGTCCCAAAACGCGAACACGGACGCCCTGGAAAAATAATTTGCAGTTCCCGCGTGTCCGTCATGGGATTGCGCACGTGATAGGTAAGTAACGGTAAATTACCGTATCAAAACACCCCCTTGGGGAGAGGTCGGTATTTCGTACGCAACCCTATTCAATACACATAGTGACATTTTTAGAAAAAGAGAGCGATACCTCACGACACCAGCAGGATTTGAACCTACGCACTCAGAGAGTAACAGATAGATCCTCAAAAGGCACAGTATTCTAATCTGTTGCCTTAACCACTTGGCTATAGTGCCACAATGAATTTCTTGGGTAATTCGCTCGGGTACTATACGTACAGGGTGCCTGCATACGTTCAAATCTAAACCCTCGGTCGTCGACTCGGAAGCTTCGACCACTACACGTTTGGAATATCAATCATTACGTGACTTCATTCTCCCGTTATCGAACATGGACTAAGGGATGGGCGTTTTAGAGATCAGGCGTGGCGGTGGCGTTCAAGTTGCTAGTACCCTCTTACTCTCATGTCCTCGTCGTCTGCTGGGACCTTTCAAGAAACTCCTTCTGACATTTTCTATGAAATTCTCCTCCATTCTAAAGTGAAAGAGCTCTCTTTCTTCTGGATCACCTGCCGTCAAGTTTCACGCAGCTTTAAAGACGCAGTCGAACATGTCTTTATCACCAAGCATCTGAACAAGACATGGATTCGCACTGATGCCGGTCGGTCTCTATGCGATCCCTTACCATGCTTTATAAAAAGCCAACGTTTGTTCTAGGCATCTGGCACTCTTCTGAACACGGCAAAGTCTTCCTTGCCTCTGAATTCAAATTTTCTCATCTCGACCCTGCCGATCCGTCTCACGCGATATTCAAATATGATGAATGCCATGAAGACTTTCGGGAGGAGCTCGCTCGCCGATTGAGACAGATGCTCAAGAATGGACCTTCACTTGAACGCCCGAGGGTGATGATTCAAGTCAGGCGCAGTGCGAATGATACCATGTTACCGGAATTCCAATCCAATTTCGACCCAGGGACAAATCTGTTCGAAATTAGCTTTGACTGGAAAGGCATGTATAGCCATTTTTTCCGAGAGCAGAAGGAGGTGGGAAGGAGGATGCGTGAATGGGTATGTATCCCTGTTTTTGTTCTGTGTTTGTTTGCGTAGAATGACGAATCCTGTCTGTAGGTCGAAAGTGTCAAGGATGAAGTGAGAGATCTCGGGATAGGTGGAGGAGACGGCCCTGGAGGTGGCTTAGGATCCTTCGCGCGCGTCATGCGAATGTTTGCAAATAATAACGATGGAATTCGGAAGATTATCCGCTCGGAGAGGATACGACGGAACGTGCTGGAGAACGAAGGCAGGGTGGTATCTGGACAAGACGATGCTGGCTACAAAAGAGTGAAAGAGGAGGAGCATGCTATTGGATGGGAGGACCCGTATAGTGACGAGGATGAGAATGATGATGATAATGAGAGAGAGGATGCCGAGTCAGAAGGGGATTGGGAGACTATCGATGAATCAAGTGACGACGATGAAGATCATAGCTAGACTCGGACAGGCAGCATTTCCGGCATACGATAGTCACTTTGGGAAAGTGTTGTTTGTCGTTCATGGAATTTATTTGTGCGTCTATTATATACCCTGCTGCCTCATAATGAACACTAGCTCTAGCCCTCCTTTCATAAGGGGACTCGGAGGTTATCACGCGACGTTTGTCGCGTCGGCTATCGTCAATCATATTCATGGATATTACTTCTCGCCACAAACCATCACAAATTGATGGGTAGCATGTGTGTTCAGATAACCAAAGTACACTAATCATAGGCTACTCCTATGTGGCCGCGTTGCAAGAACAAAGATAGATCGTCGTCGAACAAAAATATAGCCGGAATAAGGGCTTCGAGGTCTTCGGAGTGGCACGGCACCGGAACATTAAAGCAAAAACCGAGGGATTATAAAGGCACTCGCATCGCTGTTTCTTTCTCCCCAACACCTGAGTAATAGACCATGTCACAATCTGCCTCCCGTTCTACACCTGACTACACCATTGACCCCAATCCCATTCTCTCGCGGCTGGTTTTGGCCAAAACTTTCCTTACCTTGTGCGTTGTTCGTTTCTTGCCCTCACGACGTCCTCCCGGCTTAAGTATACACCTCTACAGCATGGACGTCTCCGAAGACAAAGCTACGAACACTGTCAGCGCTATCCTCGAACTGCCCGGTCTCAAGAAAGAAGACATACACACTTCTTGGGATGATGGTGAGATCATGGTCTGGGGAGAGACTCCGGACGTGGAGGAGGGTGGCTACAGTGTTGGTGAGCGCAACATCGGCGCGTTCTGCAGGTGTTTAAGGACTCCTCCCGGAACCAAGGCAAGCATGCATTAACATGCCTCCTAACATGAGCAAAAGCACTGAAGCCATTTGTAGAGAAAGGACGTCAAAACTTCTCTCAAAAACGGACTATTGACGTTGACGTTCCCAAGGGCACCAGAGACGGTATTGAAGAAAACCACGAAGAACTTGTTGGGACATTAGAAAAGGGATGTACATAGCACGATGAATCTCAAAATCTGTATTCTATTCAGTGAAACAAACGTAGATTGGAGCAGGGAAGGGCTTACCTAAGTCAATCAGTTAATCGTCGAAGCTGGGCCGATATCACTACTGTCCCCAACAGAAACCATGGGATTGGTCACCGAGTTAACCATGCTATCATTCGCTCTGACCTCGCCCGCTAGGACTTTCATGACGCACCATCCCTGGTATTTGGGCCTCCAAATCATTCTCATCCACAAAATTAGCACCACGTACGCCAAACCGAGTGTCTCCTCATCGCGTCCTCGTCTTCCGCCACCTGCCTCTGGGAGTTAATCGATGAAAGCAATACGGTCGTTTGTCCCAAGGCTCCTACGAGAGACCCGGGGGTGATGTAGACGTCATTGGACTAGGAATAGGCGGCAGTGCCTTGGACGGGGAGGCGAGCGTAGTGGGACGCTCGACGAAAATATCATAAGTCTTGATCTTTATCGCCTTCATTCCTCGTTTCATTTGTTGGGTCTTCGTAGACTAGCCAGAGCTGATTGTCTTGCCGTCGATGTCGATAGTTGCAACCAAACCGATGGTTCTTCATACGTTTTGTCGGAATCGTCCGGCAACGTCGCGTCGTCCTCAAGTCGCGTTGTCGCCCACGCAGGTCACATCATCCATATCCATGCCAGAGTATGTTTTCGCCGTGCGCCAGCCAGATTACTCAAGGCATCAAGGCACAGATTGGAGATCTGCATGGCTAGCTCTATTCCTTGGTGACCCACATCAGGCAGGTACTGGCAGGACGTATCAACGCAGTACCATCCTCTCCCGGAGTCCCGTCTCCATTCGGAAAGGTTTGCTTGTGGTGACGCTATTGGAAGGTCTACAAGTTCTATCGAGGCGATAGGGCTGGGAGAGTTGAACCGCTTCTCAGCATTTTGCCTCTTTGAGTAGTTTCAGGAGCGGATTGAGGAAGGATGTGATGCTATCTCGGAGGTTCATGTGAAACGAGCAGTGGTCCTGTCAGCGATGCAAACAGTAGAGAGTATGGCGGGTGATGCCTGAAGAAGAGGTTGAGAAGTGAATGGTCTAAATCTTGAAGATGGTTTGATTATTCATTGATGATCACAAGGGAATTGCGCAGCGACGATACGACGATTCAATATGACCCTGCCAGAAATATTAGGAATTAGAGGGCATATAAGATGTCACAGACGTACTAATGGCCTCCTTCGAATAGCTCAACGGCAGTCTGAAATGGTCATGCAGCTATCGGGAAAGGATTGAGACAAATACGACACCAATCGTTACTATGCAAAACTTACAATAGTCCAACTTAACGGTGACACAAAGCGATATCGAGCCTGAGGCTTACTCGAGCTTTTCCGTGTCGCACTGCTGCATAAGGTGACCGGCATTGCTACATGGTATTGATACGATTATATTCTCGTGAAAAGATGAGCTAGGCGTCGAGACATTGAAAAATACTCACCGACATACCAGTGGCAAACAAAGAACCCAGGCAGCTTCCGTCTTCAGTGTTGCAAGCGGTGACTTTGGCATCTTGCCATCGTTGAGTTCGATTATTCATTATACCGTAGGCTTGAGTGTCTGCTACTCGAGTATATGCGCCTGTTGAGTGATGGTCTGGAGCAAGGGAGTTCGGCAAATCCCGATGACTTTCAAAAATAGACCACTGGCAGTGGAGTCAAAGAATTCGCCCTTAATTTCTGTCTTGATAGTCCATTCGAGTTCCGTGATGCGTTCCGTGGAGGCTAGTCCCTATCTGGACCATCTTTCCGTAAATTACAATGTCGAGAATGTGACCATATTTTGCCATATTTTGAGTCCGAGCCGCCTCCTGGGAAAGTTCGAGAACTTTCTTCGACCTGTATTTCGGTGGAGTCGTCACCTGCAACAGAATGTTCGAGTAATGTTCGAGGAGTATAAAAGACCGTCGCACTTCAATGCCTCTTCACCATCCAAACGACAATGTCTGTCTACTACTACGAGCCCTTCTACAACTTCGACCGTCTCTTTGATGCGATCACTCGTCCCGCCAGCCAACAATTACAGGCTGCGCATGACTCGGACAACAGTGCTACGAAGGCATTAAAGCCAAGGTATGCGCTTTGTCACTGACTCTGTGATGACAGGCTCTAACAAGTGTTTCTTTACAGAATGGACCTCCACGAAGATGCGGCCAAGAACACCGTCACCGCGACGTTCGAGCTGCCAGGTCTCAAGAAGGAGGACGTGGAGATCGACGTGCACGACGGCCGCCTGACTGTGTCTGGGGAAAGCAAAATCTCGTCGGAGCGCGAGGAGAATGGCTATGCCGTTCGAGAGCGCAAGTTTGGCAAGTTCTCCAGGACGTTGAGGCTTCCTCAGGGAGTCAAGGTAAGAGCGATTTTCTCGAGGAGCATGAGGTACTGATGTATCTGCAGGAGGAAGAGATCAAGGCTTCTCTTGAAAATGGTCTGTTGACGGTGACGTTCCCCAAGGCGTCTCCGGAGACGGCGCCAAAGAAGATCGCAATTGCATAGACATTATATGCCATTTTATAGTGTATTACAATATGAACGGAAAACTGTATCTTGTTAGTTAAAACGATAGGAACGAGAATGGAAAATATGCACTTGAATTCCTTTTGCTCACGGTGAAACCGCCCTGGAAGGTTTGGTTGGTAGCCTGCAACTGGTGATAACTGCCCTTGGCACGATGAATGGATGTAGAGATTAGTCTACTAGCAAACTGTAG